GATGATGGGATTGGTAGTTAACAGTGGATGATGGGACTTGTAGTGGGCGGTGAGTTGTGGGTTTACGTTTTGACTGCGGCCAATCAGAAGGCGGCATTGCTAACCCGGCTTGTGGCTGGCTGGGACTACACTTCCCGGCAGGCAGTGCGAGGGATGTTGTGTAGTGACGTCATTTTCAGCCTCTCACATGATGGCGGTCCCTGTGTCACCCGGGCGGGATGTGTTTGCGGAGGGATTGCTGGAGCTGCTCAAACCGGCCGTGCAGCAGCTCGACTCCCATGTACACGCCGTGAGGTACTGTGAGGGGCCCCAGAGCGGGAATATGGGGGGGCCACACACAGCAGCTTCCTGTTACTGTCCCCGCCCACATGAACTGACCCCAATAAACATGGGGTAACCCCCCACCCCAATAAACCTCTGGGGATCCCTGCACCAACATGGGGTAACCCCCCAACCCCAATAAACCTCTGGGGATCCCTGCACCAACATGGGATAACCCCCCCACCCCAATAAACCTCTGGGGATCCCTGCACAAACATGGAGTAACACCCCCCCACCCCAATAAACCTCTGGGGATCCCTGCACAAACATGGGGTAACCCCCCAACCCCAATAAACCTCTGGGGATCCCTGCACAAACATGGAGTAACACCCCCCCACCCCAATAAACCTCTGGGGATCCCTGCACCAACATGGGGTAACACCCCCCACCCCAATAAACCTCTGGGGATCCCTGCACCAACATGGGGTAACACCCCCCACCCCAATAAACCTCTGGGCATCCCTGCACCAACATGGGGTAACACCCCTCACCCCAATAAACCTCTGGGGATCCCTGCACCAACATGGGGTAACACCCCCACCCCAATAAACCTCTGGGGATCCCTGCACCAACATGGGGTAACACCCCCACCCCAATAAACCTCTGGGGATCCCTGCACCAACATGGGGTAACACCCCCACCCCAATAAACCTCTGGGGATCCCTGCACCAACATGGGGTAACACCCCCACCCCAATAAACCTCTGGGGATCCCTGCACCAACATGGGGTAACACCCCCACCCCAATAAACCTCTGGGGATCCCTGCACCAACATGGGGTAACACCCCCCCACCCCAATAAACCTCTGGGCATCCCTGCACCAACATGGGGTAACACCCCTCACCCCAATAAACCTCTGGGGATCCCTGCACCAACATAGGGTAACACCCCTCACCCCAATAAACCTCTGGGGATCCCTGCACCAACATGGGGTAACCCCCACCCCAATAAACCTCTGGGGATCCCTGCACCAACATGGGGTAACCCCCCACCCCAATAAACCTCTGGGGATCCCTGCATCAACATGGGGTAACCCCCCCCACCCCAATAAACCTCTGGGGATCCCTGCACCAACATGGGGTAACCTCCCACCCCCCCCAATAATCCTCTGGGGATCCCTGCACCAACATGGGGCAACCCCCCACCCCAATAATCCTCTGGGGATCCCTGCACCAACATGGGGCAACCCCCCCCACTCCAATAATCCTCTGGGGATCCCTGCACCAACATGGGGTAACACCCCCCCACCCCAATAATCCTCTGGGGATCCCTGCACCAACATGGGGTAACACCCCCACCCCAATAATCCTCTGGGCATGCCTGCACCAACATGGGGTAACACCCCTCACCCCAATAAACCTCTGGGGATCCCTGCACCAACATGGGGTAACCCCCACAAACCCTTGGGATCCCTGCACCCACATGGGCAACCCTCCCCCAATAAACCTCTGGGATCCCTGCACCAACATGGGGTAACCCCCACCCCAATAAACCTCTGGGGATCCCTGCACCAACATGGGGTAACCCCCCACCCCAATAAACCTCTGGGGATCCCTGCACCAACATGGGGTAACACCCCCCCACCCCAATAAACCTCTGGGGATCCCTGCACCAACATGGGGTAACACCCCCCACCCCAATAAACCTCTGGGGGTTCCCTGCACAAACATGGGATAACCTCATTTGCTGGGGAGGGCTGCCTGGGCTGTCAGGCAGCCCTCCACAAGAGGATCGCGGCGGAGGTAAGTACCTCTGATCTCCTTTGGGCTTCAGCCGTTACGGCGTTCTATGCCGCCGCAGCGGCTTTAAAGCCCTTTTGATGCGGGACGGCATAGAACACCGTAACAGCGTTAAAGGGACACTATAGTCACCAAAACAACGTTAGCTTAATGAAGCTGTTTTGGTGTATAGATCATGCCCCTGCAGTCTCACTGCTTAATTCTCTGCCCTTTAGGAGTTAAATCACTTTGTTTATACAGCCCAAGTCACACCTCTCTGCATGTGACTTGCACAGCCTTCCTAAACACTTCGTGTAAAGAGTCATCTCATGTTTATGCTTCCTTTATTGCAAATTCTTTTTAATTTAGAATTTATCTTCCGCTTTAATAGCTTGCTAAACCCTGCATGAGCCTTGTGTATGTTTTTTAAATTCATTTTAGAAAGATTACACTATATTTTACAGCAAGTTACTATCTAATTGAAATTGAAACCATTTTGTCATGCAGGCTGTGCTCGAAACAGCCAGTAGAGGTGTGGCTAGAACTGCATAAACTGAAACAAAAGTGATTTCACTCCTAAATGGCAGAGAATTGAGCAGTAAAACTTCAGAGGAATGTTCAATACACCAAAACTGCTTCACTAAGCTAAAGTTGTTTTGGTTACTATAGTGTCCCTTTAATGTGCATTTTTATTGAATTACTGTTGCTTATGAAAGTCTTATTTGGAGCACACTCATCACACCTGAAGAATCTATGATACATGTACAGGGATTGTAATCTGTAACAAATAACCTTTACTTTGCAGAGAGAGCCAAGTGGACCTGCGGGAACATATTGACAGTCTGGCATCAGGTAAGTCGGTATCATGGTTACACATCAAAATGAGAATGGGCTGGATTATGATATTCCTACTTTATATACTGTCAGCAGTTTAAACTGATAACAAGTTTATATAATAATTATGCAGAGTTTATGCTGGTGGAAGCGGTTCTAGTTAGACATTACAAGCTAATGAGTTGAGAATAACTCTGTATATTGTGTATAGTCCTCCTGAATCCAGATTAAATAATAACAAATCCATGACATTTAATACATTCAGTTTTATCCGCAGTCCCATAAGTTAGCACAGAGAGTGCCAATACCTTAATTTAATTCCAAGTGGCACCGATCTCTGATTATCTTTGATTGAGAGACCTTTCGTAGCAGGGTTGCTTGCTTAGCTCATCAGAACCATCACTTACTCTTCTTGCTCTAGAGCTTTGCAAAATTAATGAAGATCAGAAGGTGGCTCTTGATCTGGACCCATATGTGAAGAAGCTCCTGAATGCCAGGCGTCGGGTGGTTTTGGTCAACAATATTCTGCAGAATGCACAGGTAATGAAAGAAAATCGGGTCAGCGATAAATATGGAGGTCACCTAATAATTTAATAGAAAGAATGTTGCTGGGGTAGAACGTTTTTATTTTTAAAGACACAAAACATATTTTTGGTCTTTGCTAAGCTGCCCAATGTTTGATTAGGAAATCATTGGAGGATCATTGGTTCCCACTACTTATGTGAAAGCATGTGCTGATTGGCTTTTTTGATCTCTGCAGGAACGTCTGAGGCGTCTCAATCATAGCGTGGCTAAAGAGAGTGCTCGCAGAAGAGGAATGCTGGACTCTGGTACCCACCACAATCAAGCATCTCCTAATAAATGAAGCGTGAAAAGGAGAAATTCTGGAGCTGAGCAGTCTCTCCTTTCGATTGCCAGATGAGATTCCCGCCAGCCCAGGTGTGTAGTGGTCTTGTGTCACATCTTCTGAGACCGAATTCTACACACAGCCTGACCTTGGGCCAGCAGTGCCAAAAATCGATTGATGAACTGCACTAGGAGGGAATATCCTCTGTCCTAATGCATGAAACATCTTTTATTAACACAGATCTTTGTCGCTGTAGCGATTAAAGAGGCTGATTTCATGTTTCTCTAGCTGCAGGTCAGATGTCCTCACAATTGGCTGCTATTGTCGAACATAACCTTCTACTTTTTCAAAGCCTGTCTCTGTAAACCCATTGTGTGGCTTCTGCAATGTCATGCAGATCCTGGCTGTGCTGTGAAATCCTTGTTCTTATGATAGGTGTTTCCCTTGCTAGCTTCCATACATTCCACAAGAACAGAGGTTACACTATTACCTGTACGTTGAATAAAGAACAGGATCAATCGTTTGGGGAATACCATATGTCAGGAGGAGAAATGGTTAATTTATTACATTCTGTTTGGCACCTTCTGTGTTAATGTGATGTCTGTCAAAGTGAACAGGCTTTTGCTTAAATTAAGTGTATTTTTCCTGTTGTGTATTTCCGACATTTGAATTGCAATAAATATTAAATTGAATGTATATAAATACTTTTTTTATTCCTTCATTTTTTTTTTTTTGTGCATGAATCAATAGATACCTCTAAGGTAATGGCAAATTTGAGTCAAGATCACATCTAGTTACACGTTTTAAACACTCCAAGTACATTGCATATTTGTGATAAGAAAATAGAGAAAAATTCAAAATAACTAGGTAGGAAGCAACAAAACATTTTCATACAATAAACAGGGTAGCCAGTTTGTGCACTATTTAGTACTTAGCACGAGTAAGATGTGCGTAAGTTGACTGTAAAACACTAGGAACAGTAATAGTGAGGACAGCACAATGAGGCCTCACATAGGAACTATGCTAGCACTGCCTAATACGTGTGGCTTGGTCGCAGTCAGCGAAGTGCCTGCTCCTGGATTCCGTCCATGCTGTGTCTTTTCTCTTAGTTGCGGATAATGCTTGGTAGGTAGTTGGTAGTTGTAGGTTTCCCAGTTGTGTCTTAGGTTAAGGTGAAGGTCTTTATGTGGGACTATTAAAGCACCTTACGCTCCCTAGCGATGCCGGACTGATGGTCTCTTAGCGACCAGAGCCAATTTGTGTTTCTCTGTGAGGACAGCGAAGGGGATATCTCCAAATAGTATCACTACACTAACTTCAAATTGTACACTTCCTAAAGCCTTGGAGTGGGCCATAACCACGCAGGGAACCGCTATATCTCCGGTTACTGCCATTATGTCTCTGGAATGTTACCATTTTTGCACCAAAGGGCCTGCTGTTCGTGATGTCTTGGCTGGTTTCTGGGATTTCATATTTGGCTGTAAGATTTCTACAAAAGGAGGCTGACAAATGAACTGCTTATATAATGCAAGTTACAAAAAACAGGCCAAAAGGGCTCTTTTAAAGCAGAGGTGGGAAACGTGCTGCCCTCCAGATGTGGACTACATCTCCCTTGATGCTTTGCCAGCAGGATGGCTGTAAGAGCATTATGGGAAATGTAGTGCAGAAGATTTGGAGGGCCGAAGGTTTCCCACCCATGCTTTAAGCATCAAAATAACTTAATCTTATTGATGTGATTTTGGTTTTTCTTAAACACTGTCTACTTTCAGTGAAATGTCAATGTTTACTTTTGACTGTAAACATGCCTCTCGTGATTGTTAGATTAACAGCCATTAGAGGCTCTTCCTCATTGAAGACTTTAACTTACTGAAAGTCTTCACATTCGATGGCATCATTGGAATGGACCAGAGATCATCCAGGTGATCTCAGAAGGGGAGCTGCACCTGCCAGGAGAAAACTGCCTAAAGCTGGGTAATCGCTCTTTTGTTGTAGTTGTTTTTTTCTTTCTTTTCTTTAAGATGGGGGGGGTGGGCAGGGAGCACACTAACGTTAAAAATAAAATGTATTTTTAATGCTACAGTGTTACTTTAATCACAGACTATTAAAAAATTAATAATAATCATAGAATGCGATGAGTAGCAAAATTTCACAACCATCTTAATGGAATGTAGTAGAATGGCAAGCCAAAACCAGGTCATTGCTTTTTCTGTTGCTGTATTCTATGCAATTCTGTGTTTTGTGTAACTCATTTTCTGTGTAAATGCTCGTATCCGCAACACATTCTTACCTGCTTGTTAAACGTTTTGTAGTTTATCATATTTTTGTCTAAAAAGGATATATAATGTTTCCACAGCATTTTAACTGTAAAAAGCCCTCTCTCCCCAAAATACATGTGAGGATTTTTTGAAACGTCCTATAATTCCCTTGAGACAGTCATAAAAGAGACTTCACTGTTTGAAAGATGTAATCACCGTTCCTTATTACCATATGTGCACAGCCAGACTCTCCGAATACTTGCAAACCCCTTGTTCTGTGCAAATTAATGCCTTTTCCACATGGCTGAATTCATGCAAGTGCTGTTTTTCTCTTTTCTCACTGTGAAATCTTCTTGCACTTATTAGCTTTGAAGAAATATTCATGCAGGACTCGGTGCCCGACCAGCTAAAAAATATCCAATTTAGATTTATAGAAAAGAGAGAAAATTGGTCTATTCCTGACCTCATGAAAGCAGTGTTCTTGTCGCTGAATAATCTTCTATTCTGTTAAAGTTCGGTAGTTGCATATTTATGTAAAATTTAAAATAACCCTTTTTCTGACAAGTAGGTGAACAGACTGTCTTTAACAGCATACGGTACAGACTATTTAAATAAACCAAACTTTAATGAGATGCCTGCTTGACCACAGGTAAGTCAAGTCGGAAATCTTAAGCCAACTGCTCGGAGACCTGCTATTTCTTTAGCAGTATAACCTGCCATATTTTTGGTACCCACAGATTTCCATTAATATAATACTTTAGCTGACTGCAAAAGGTTTAGCCGAATTAAGATTTCTAAAACTGTCTCTGTTCTGGTAAAATGGGACAACATTCTAAAAGTGGAGCTTTCACTACATGAACATGTCATCGGTTTCCATGGTGATTGCTGCATGTTTAGAACTTGCCCTAGTTTTCTGCTACCCATCACTTTAATCATGGAAGCATCTGCACTTATGTTAAGGTGTATAGATGGATGTACGGCTGAGTAATTACAGGACGTTTTATAAGACCTCATGAATACCGATATCCATTTATATAATTGAAAAACTAATTTAAATAGACTCGTTTCTTAACACAGAGTTCTGTCATTTCTTTTGTTTTTTAGTGTTCTTGAATGGATAACAGAGCTTCACATTTGGTCCTAGAGAAGAAAACCTTTAAAGGAATATTCTAGGCACTGTAGAGCAGTGGTTCCCAAACCAGTCCTCATGGCCCACCAACAATCCAGGATTTATGTATTTCCCTTTTTTATACCAATGTAGATACTGACAAAATCTGGATTGTCGGGGGGTCATTGAAGTGATATTGATGGTAATTCATTGATCACTCCTGAGCAAACCTAATATTCATAATTATTGATTAGTGTGCAAACCTGATATTAATAATTGTTAATTAGTAACACTAATTGATATTGAACAAACCTAATATTAATTAAGTAAATTGGTGTTAGTCAAACATATGCAGGCATGTCACAAAACACAGGCCTGGATATGTTGCAGATGAATTTGGGAATAAGCCATAAGATGACAAAGCATGAGTTGACCGGGTCAGGCTAAGTGCAGGACCTGGAATATGCCCAAAGAGATAAGGTATAGCATGAAACTAACGACCAATCCCATTAGGGGTGAACATAGGATATAGTAGAAACGTAAAAGATTGATAAGTTAACCACAAGACGTGGCATGATATCTTGGGTGGGTCTGATCAGCCGGACCAGCTGTCAGTCCCATCCAATGCTTATGCCAAGTCTTTGCTGGGCTGCACTTGATAAGATATTACAAGTACAGACTGCCCACCCTTTGAAAAGGTATAAAAGATGGGGTAACTTGGCACTCAGGAGGGAGCTACTTATCTGCATCACAGACACGTGGTCCAGGTCTTTGCTGTTTCCCAGTGGAGAAAATCCCCAGCCTGACTGCTTGAGTTCCCCAGTCGTGTGTGGCAGATTACTTACTTCTTCTCCTATGGTGATGTATAACAATAAACTGATATTTAAGCTGATGTTGATGTGTTAAGCGGAAATTGATCATTGGAACTGAATGCATGCACAATTTATAATAATTAGATGCATTTTAGGATTAGAGTAATTTGGATTCCATTGTATACAATAAAGTATGGCATTAATTCATACATATTGCTTGGTCTGTGTGATTTCATTTATCTATTTCTCAACCTCTTCATTACGAAACGGGAAATGTGCCAGGCAGTATCGTTATAAACCTTATTAGGCACTGATTTGGCATAACAGTCATGAGGACTGGTTTGGGAACCACAGCGTAGAGCTTTATCTCATTGAAGTGGTTATAGTGCCTGGAACCATCCTCCCAGCAACCCATCGTCTCTGTGCTACTTGGGATAATGAGGAAGTATCAGCCTGAGCAGCAGTTGGCAATAGTGATTGACTATCACAGCTTCCCATTGCTGATATGAGTTGGATTGGTTAAAAAAAAAAAAAATTGCAATCTCTGTCTTTGCAACACCTCCAGTGGGGGCCGAACTGACGGAGATCTGGCATGCTTGCTCATTGTTAAAATGCTCAACCATGATTTAACACTGAATGGAGCAGTAATGCAAGGGATCTCCAGGAAATTAAACCAGCTCAGCGATTTAAAATGGTTATAGTGCTAATTCAAAATATAAATTGACTATGGCTCTTAAAGAGAGAAACTTATATGGTAGTGTTTTTAAAATACAGTAATCCATTAGATTAGCCATGTGCTAACTATGTAAATTTGAGAATTATTTTGAAATAAGCATCAATGAA